CCTGAAACATCCGCTTTCCTGCTCCTCTGATGCTGCTTGGCCTGCTGTGTTCATCCAGTTCTACACCTTGTTATCTCTAATGAGATTATTCATTGCTTTTACATTATAACTTGACCCTGGACCAGTTGCCCCTCCCAAAGAGTAGTGACTGGAGCCATGACCAGGTGGATCTCATTGACCGTGAGATCCTTGATTGGGTTTGTTAATTTGGGTCAATCGGGGAGCCCTCGCTGACATATAAACAGGAGACTCAGAAGGTCTCCTCAGTCTTGGGATTGGCTTGGAGCTGGCTGGTCAGAGCCCATGAATGGGTGACTTGGTGTTGGGATACTGGCCTCTGCAGTTATTTTATTCCCTCATCCAGTTAAGTCCATATAGACTTCTATAGGGTCCCTTCTGAGCTGCCTGTTTTCAAAGTCAAAGCTGTAACTAATTTTCTCACTTCGTGTCACTGAAGTGTTGGAGTTTAAAATGCAAATGAAAATTTAAATAATAGTTCAAGAGAACATTTTTTTTCTGATTTCAAATAACATAACCGGGTGATCAGGGGAGTAATAATGTTGTATATGAAGTAATTTAGACATTTGCTTTCTCAAGGAAATACAGGAAATGAGCATTTTACTGTGATACCAACACCCTATACTTCAAACACATGGCTGCATTATTGTTTAAGTAACTATTATTTACTGCTGTCTCTAGGGTGGGTACTGATACTTGAAAAATGATTTAAATTTGACAGCGATTATGTCTTTAATTCTATGAATGGTTCAGCAATACAAACTGGGAAAAGTCCAGATTGCATCCCAGCTGAATGGGAACCAGAGTAACAAAATTCTGGTGTGGGCCTGCTGTTAAATTTGAAGGATTTCCACATTTTCTGGCCACAGACACCGATTCCCACTCTGTCTCCCCTAATATTGGGGCTTCTCATATACCAAAAAGAGAGAATACAAACCTGACAGGATTTCTACTGCTGTCGGCTATCCAGTTACCCTGTGCAAAATATTTATTTGGCTGTTGACAATAGGGTTTGATTTAATTGTAAAACCAGCTGTCTATTTTCACATGCAAGGGATAGTTAATTTAGTAAGATGCATGTAGGAAACTGGAGGAGGAAACTGTGAATTTGCCAAGAACCTTGCATTGAAGTTCCCATAGACATACCGTGCTGTTGTGAAGGAGCAGCTGTCAATCTACCAGGAAAAAGAAAAGAAGCAACTTTTTTTTTCTGGTGACAGTACATGCCTGTTATTTCAAACCACTGTCTGACTGAGTATGTGCCAGATGGGAGTGTAAATGATGGTGACATTGCCAGAAGCCTGGTACAGCCCTGCTCTCCTGAAACCTAACATTTTCTCCCAGCAACAGTGAAGGAACAGTGATTTAGTTCCAAGTCAGATTGGTGTGTAGCTTGGAGGGGAACTTGCAGGTATTGGCATTGTCAAACGGAAGAGGTCATAGGTTTGTAAGGTGCTGTTAAAAGACTCTTGGCAAGTTGTCGCAGTGCATCTTGTAGACTGTGCACTCCAGCTGCAACTGTGCAATGGTGGAAGAGGGAGTGAGTGTGGAAGGTGTTGGAAGGGTGCCAAATAAATGGGCTGCTTTGTCCTGGATGGTGTTAAGCTTCTTGAGAGTTTTTATATATGCTGCCAATTTGAGCTTTCACTTTTATTTAAATTGCGTACATGTTGAAAATCTGTGAAGGCTATGTTTGAAAGTGCAGGCCAAGGTCAAAAATAGTAGGAGTGCCTACGCAGTTGTTTATCACAGATAACTTTAAACCCTTGCATAATTGCCTTTTGAGCACATAATATGTGCGTGTAGCATTCGCATCTGGTTTGGACTTTAACATTTGCCTACATTGGGCAGGGCAGTCACCAGTCATATTGCTGAATGAGTCTCTTCAATTTCGATGTTTTTGTAACAGTTATGTTGATTCTTATAAGTGTGATTTCTTTATTGCCTTTTATAATGTAGTTCTGCAGGAAAGGGGCTGTATCAATAACATTAGGCTATTGATCTGCAACGTGAAACCAGTGAAATTACATCTGTGGCAGAAAAAGGACAATTATTTAGTTAAGGACACATGGACATTTGCAATACTGTGTTCAGTCCAGTTTGCAGGACAAACTGGTTTCCAAAATGAAATCTTTTTGTCTCTCTCCGTTTGATGCTTTGATCAGATTGAATGACCACATTTGAAAAGTACTGATTGGCGAGATTTAGTGCTGAGATTTTCATCCAATATCGTACAGGTTACAACATATGGAGTCCCAAATTACAACATCGCTGTTCAAGGTCGTGATATAGGACAGATGACATCAATACTATGCAGCCTAAAAAGGGCTCTTGTGGTGTAGTGGTAGTGCCTTACCTTTGGGCCAGGGTACATCTGGGCTCAAGTATCACCTACTCCAGAGATATGTACTAACGTTCTAAATATTAGAACATAGCTATGCAGCCTGAAGAGGGGGGAGGGGGAGCAGATATGGCCTAGTGGTGGTGACCCTACTAGTGTGTCACAACATATCTGAACAGGCTGTTTCAAAATAGCTATGCTGCTCAAACAGAGGGATCTTGTGGTGCAAGAGGTGCAGGTTCAAGTCCCACCTGCTCCAGTGGTGTTAAATGACATCTTTTGAATAGGCTGATCAGAAAATATCTACACTGCCTAAATAAAGCTGTAACACCACAAGTGTACTCAGGGAAGTAGGGAATGAGAACTCCTGCACAGGCAGACACGAGGCCTTAACCGGATACCGAAATTCAAGGTTTGATGGCTGCCCTCTGACTAGGGAGCCTTTTGGAGACAATGATGGAAAATGGGGTCTGAGGGTCAGAGGCTACAGGATCCAACTAATACCTCCAGCTCTGCCCTTCTGCTGACCCATGGGCATTCAACCATAAGTTATATTCAAAGTATCCACCCTCATAATGCTGTCCTCTTATCTTGCATATGCTCGATATGCTTTTTTCTAGCCAGTCCCTCAATCCCCTGTTCATGTAGGTGTCAGTATGCAAGACCAGGCTGGCCACATCCACAGAATCATAGAACCCCTGCAGTGTGGAAGCAGGCCATTTAGCTCATCAAGACCACACTGACTGTCCAAAGAGCAGGCCTCCCAGACCCACCCAATCCCTGGAACCCTGCATGTCACATGGTGAATCCAACTAGCCAGCACATCCCTGGACACTATGGTCAACCCACCCAACCTGCACATCTCTGTGGGAGGAAACCGGAACACCCAGAGGAAACCCACACAGACACGAGGAGAATGTGCAAACTCCACATAGACAGTCACCCGAGGCTGAAATCAAACCCAGGTCCCTGGCACTGTGAGGCAGCAGTGCTAACCACTGAGCCACCATGCCACCCACATTCAACGCCACCCATCCAATGCCACTACAGCTGCTGGAAAGTGCTCCCAGCCCTGGGATGAGGTTGACCTCAGACCAATGAAGCTCATGATGCTGTAACACAGCAAATAATGCAGGTGTCCCAAATATTGGCTTATACCAAAAAGGCTTACCATCAAGAAGCCCCAGAGATCAGTAGTAGTAAACAGGGATACTTGGTAAATATATACTTTGGCCCAGTGTTCAGAAAGATGTTTGGAGGCACGTTTTCAATACGTACAGAGTTCCTTCTCCATTGCCATTCTGAAGTTTAAAAAGTTCTGATTTGATTATAAAGTTAGACATTGGAATGTCCATTCATTATGGTCTGCTGACCTCAAAAAAGAAAGACATTAATTTCATGCTAAGGATACTATGACAGAAGAGATTTCCCTCCCTGAAATACTGAAAGGCATTTTTTAATAAGAACAGTTGAAGCTGTTGTTTAAGTCGTTGCAAACTTGTCAGTCTGCCCAATTGCTGTTTTGGGAAACCTAAGCAAATATTTTACAAAAACATTTGCATTTCCACCATTCCACTCCCCTCTGCCCAACTCTGAAATTTCAAGTTATTGTTCATGTTTCCCTAGTTTTCCACCTCTTCCCCTGACAGTGGAGACTCTTGCCAGGATACTGTTAACACGAACTAGGAGACATCTGCAAATGGCCATTCCTCTTGCATGAATGTGATAATGAGAGTTTGCAGGCTAATTAAATACAGAGGGCATCTCAATAAAGGTCAAAGCTCTTCTCACCCAACATTAACTTATTTGCATTTTCCAGCAATGTTCACGGGAAAACAATTAGCAAAGAGAATGCTGATTGATTTTTTTTTATGTTTAACAGAACCAGAAGATATTATAAACATGCAGCAGATCAATCAACATTGAGGAAAGAACAAATAAGTTAATGCTTCAGGCATTCATCACTCCACCAGATCAGCAGAATATGAAGTGATGAACAAGCATTTCAGTAGAAACAGAACAAAGGGAAAGAGGAAGAGAAGAGAAACAGAAGAAATGGTGAAATTTTTAAAAATTGTTGAATGATTGAGATGAATTTTGTATCACAGGAAGCAGCATTGAAATAAATAAAGAAAACATAAACAAAGTAAACAACCACAGATTACATTTATATAGCACCTTTAAAAGAATCAAACTTCCCAAGGAGTTTATTAGGAGCATTAGACATGTAAGTATGACACTAAGAGTGTTTCAAAGGAAGAACATGATGTAGAGAGGCAGAGCAATGTAGGGAGGGTATATAAGAGCTCGGGGTCTAGACAACTGAAAGCCTGGCCACCAGTTGTGTAAGCCAGGATTGGAGATGCTCCTGCATCTCAGAGGTGCTACGGGAGAAAAGTATCCAGATAGAGGGTGGTAAGACCAGTAAGGGGTTTGAAAACAAGGGTGCAAATTTTAAAATAAAGGTGTTGCTTGTTCAGGAACCAATGTAGACCAAAAAGGACAAGGGTGACAGGTAACTGAGATTGCCGCAGTTAAGACACAGACAGCAGAGTTGGAGATGACCTCAAGCTCACAGAGTGCAGAATATGAGCCATTGGCCTATTCACGACTGGAGGTAACTAAGGCATGAGGAGGGTTTCAGCAGCAGATGGGGTGAGACAGAGGTAAAGTCAAGCGAAGTTACAGAGGTGAAAATAATCAGTTTCAATAGGAGCTCATCTAGGGATCAAATATGATACCAAGGTTGCCAACAAACTGGCTTAATCTCAGTCTGTTTCCAGGGAGACGGATGGAGTCGGTAGATGGGGAATAGAATTTGAAGTGGGACCCAAAAGCAATAGCTTTAAACTTTCCAATATTTAATTGGGGAAATTTTGCTCATCTGATGTTAGATGTCTCATGAACACGACAACAACCTAGCGACAGTGAAGGAGACAAGGTGGTGAGATAGAACTGGGAGCCATCATTTTAAAAGGGAAAACGAAGGCTTTTAGTTGATGTCACCAAAGGCAATATGTAGATGGAAAAGAATGGGACCAAGGATGGTCCTCGGCAATCAACAGCAGTAATAGTGAGGGAACAGGAAGAGAAGCCATTACAAGTGCTAACATAGCTCGGATTAGATAGGTCACATGAGAAAAGTACACAGTGTTAGACCGCTATGGACATCAAAAATGGTGGGGCTGGAAATCTGAAATAAAAACAGAAAATTTTAGAAACACTCATCAGGCTGGGCAACGTCTGGGAAGAGAGAAACAGAGTAATGTTAAAGGCTTTCCCCATCTCTGACTGCTCTCTTCTGTTGGTTATAATAGAAGAATATTTGACATCACTTGCTGCTTTGTAACCTTCACACTGTTAATGTTTTGTCTATACTCCAGTATTCAATCCAATGAGTCTTTCCTCTGTTTCTCCTGCTGGATTCATAAAGGCTGTTTCTAGTTTCTTTATTAATCTACTTTGAGTCTTGTTCATTTAGTCTGAATGGTTGATTTTAGGAATGAAGTTATCTTTCATGCTCAGTGTAAACTAGTGTGTAGAGTAATAGGAAAAATATCTTGTGACACAATACATTCATGTAGAACAAAGTTAAAGTGTCATAGAGGTCGACAGCACCGGAACAGGTCTTCAGCCAAATGAGTCTGCACCGGTCAAGAGAATACCACCTAACTATTCTGATCCAGCAGTTGACCCTTAGCCTATATGCCTTGACATCACAAG